GACCTTCTTGATTCTCCCAAGTTCCCAATGTTTGAGGGCGGCACTGGTGGCTACATGTCGAGGTCCACCCGCGAGCGTCATGCCATCACATGGACTTCCAAGGAGCAGATCAAGTTTGAGATGCCAACTGGAGGTTATGCCATCATGAACAAGGGTGAGAACTTGTGCTACTTCAGGAAGAAGGAGCAGTGCATTGCTTTGGGCAAGCAGCTGCGAAAGATGAAGATTGAGAACTACAAGATCTACCGCTTGAAGAAGGATGGCACTGTGATCTTCATGCATCCAGCCGATGGTGTGTTCCCAGAGAAGGTGAACAAGGGTCGTGTGCAGGTGAACGGCCGACCTTTCACCATCAGGAGCAACCCTCAGCAGTCTGAGCTGAAGTGGACGAAGTATCACATGAAGTCCTACGCAGCTAGGCTGAAGTAAGGAGATCCTAGCGCATTCCTCTGTCGTTTCTTCATGATTTTCAAGAGCACTTAAGGATACTTAAGACTTTAGGTTCTTGTCAGTACAAGCATGATGGCACATCATGGCATTGTGCAGTGAAATGTATGCAAACGGGTGGCAGAACCCTTAGCATTAGCATTGATTCATGTCAACTGCCCAAAGTTTCTCAGGAAGCAGATCCATTGACTACTCTCTTCATCAAGGCCCGCTGCATGGCCTTCGTAGATGTCCCCAACCTCTTCGCGCTGCCACAGCCAAACATGGACGAGCTGGTGCCAGTGGAGGAGGTGGACAAGTACACCAAGCAGGAGTACACCACAAGGCTTATGGAGGCCAGCCAAATCTTGACAATATTTCTTGGCAGCTGAAGGTTTAGTTTGCGTACATGTTCGTGATATTTCTTTGAATGTCCACAGTACATTTCAACATTCTGAACATGTGCATTTGATTGTATTCAATTGCATTTGTACTTGTACTGGCTAAACTGGCTAGATTGCTGTCTTTCCTCCTTCTTTCTCTTTTATCTAGCAGTCGATCGTGCTTGATATTTCATCACTCTTTCGGTTCGAGGGTGGGCTGGGGCTGATATGATGTGAGGCCTTGAAGAGGGTCCAGGATGACCGAAAGGAAAAGGAGGCCAAGAGCCTCTAATGAGTGAGGCTGTGGTTTTTGCGGTTCCAGCATTCAACAAAAAAGGAACGTCTAGATCCTGACGAGCACCTGTGGAAGTGCAGCTTTTTTAGAGGCTGGAGCAAAATGGAGCTGTTCAAAGGGAATGGCAAGGGGTGGTGGAATGACTTGCAAGACAACCAATCAACTCTGCTTCCAATGTGGGGAACAAGTTTTCAAGGAGACTCTGTATTTAGTCTGAAGCAAAGTGCACAAAGAAAGCTCAAGATTTCTTTTTCTGATGAGACCTGTCAAATAGACCAACTGACAAAGGTGTCGGACAACCGTTCTGTTCAAGGTTTTGTGGATGGATACTGTACCAACAAGGCGAATTGCAAAAGCCAAATCAGGTGGACATTTTTGGCCAGCCCAGCCTTGAAGTTTGCTTGAAGGAAGAACATGACGCGTCTTACTTTTCGACAATGACACGTGTCAAATTAATCTGTTGCCAACAACCTTTGCCAATTGCGGTAAATCTGTTTAGTTTGACAAACATATTTGTGTTGGTCCAAGCCCCAGCTGGCACGTGCATCGGGTCTTCCACAATATAGTCATGGCTCCACGCGTGGTGGGCTTGGCTGCGGCCGTGCTGGGCGTCGCAGCCGTGACCTTCGTGGCCCCCAGCACTTCCGGTGCACGCCGCCTCCGCACTCCAGTGGCACAGCCTGCTGCAAGCTTCGGAACATCAGCAGAGAGCAACAGCCTTTATGGCATTTGCTCCGCTGTGGGCGGTGTTGCTTTGCTGGCAGCCGGAGCTGCTGTGATCAGACGTGCGGAGAGCAAGGAGCTCACTGTTGAGGCCATTCCTCGCCCAGAGGACCTTCTTGATTCTCCCAAGTTCCCAATGTTTGAGGGCGGCACTGGTGGCTACATGTCGAGGTCCACCCGCGAGCGTCATGCCATCACATGGACTTCCAAGGAGCAGATCAAGTTTGAGATGCCAACTGGAGGTTATGCCATCATGAACAAGGGTGAGAACTTGTGCTACTTCAGGAAGAAGGAGCAGTGCATTGCTTTGGGCAAGCAGCTGCGAAAGATGAAGATTGAGAACTACAAGATCTACCGCTTGAAGAAGGATGGCACTGTGATCTTCATGCATCCAGCCGATGGTGTGTTCCCAGAGAAGGTGAACAAGGGTCGTGTGCAGGTGAACGGCCGACCTTTCACCATCAGGAGCAACCCTCAGCAGTCTGAGCTGAAGTGGACGAAGTATCACATGAAGTCCTACGCAGCTAGGCTGAAGTAAGGAGATCCTAGCGCATTCCTCTGTCGTTTCTTCATGATTTTCAAGAGCACTTAAGGATACTTAAGACTTTAGGTTCTTGTCAGTACAAGCATGATGGCACATCATGGCATTGTGCAGTGAAATGTATGCAAACGGGTGGCAGAACCCTTAGCATTGATTCATGTCAACTGCCCAAAGTTTCTCAGGAAGCAGATCCATTGACTACTCTCTTCATCAAGGCCCGCTGCATGGCCTTCGTGGATGTCCCCAACCTCTTCGCGCTGCCACAGCCAAACATGGACGAGCTGGTGCCAGTGGAGGAGGTGGACAAGTACACCAAGCAGGAGTACACCACAAGGCTTATGGAGGCCAGCCAAATCTTGACATATTTCTTGGCAGCTGAAGGTTTAGTTTGCGTACATGTTCGTGATATTTCTTTGAATGTCCACAGTACATTTCAACATTCTGAACATGTGCATTTGATTGTATTCAATTGCATTTGTACTTGTACTGGCTAAACTGGATAGATTGCCGTCTTTCCTCCTTCTTCCTCTTTTATCTAGCAGTAGTGGTCGATCGTGCTTGATATTTCATCACTCTTTCGGTTCGAGGGTGGGCTGGGGCTGATATGATGTGAGGCCTTGAAGAGGGTCCAGGATGACCGAAAGGAAAAGGAGGCCAAAAGCCTCTGACGAGTGAGAGCCATGAGTTTCTTTTTTGGGAGTTCCAGCATAACCAGACTTAGAATCTATATACGAGTAGATTGCACAGCACCGGGGCACAACTTTTTTAGAGGCTGGAACGAAAAAAAATGCCAAAGCGCCGAGCAAAGAAAGCACGCAGGAACAATGCACCGGTCTAGAGTCTAGAGTCTAGAAACAGCCAGTTTGCTGGAGTTCAGGCACTTGTTCGACATGTGAACGATTGGGTGAACTTTTTGAAGGTGTTAAAATTCATGCTGCATAGAGTCCAAGCGGTTGCGCCTGTGCTACGTCTTTGCTGTTTTGGTCCTTTGGAAGATTCGCTTTCCTTGTTGTGCGAAGTCTGAGCCGCAAAATGCAGGCGGGAGAGCCCAGCAGGAACATGTATTCGCATTCAGTTTTCACACCTTTTCACACCTTTTCCGCCATCAAGCATCATCGAAGAAAGATCAAACATCATCAAGCATTATCATACCTCATCAAACCTTCAAAACTTCAGCTGTTTGAGCCATTTGGAGGCAAGGTCAGCACGTCCAGCGCGGCCCGACACCAAGTTGATTTCATTTGGCAGATGTCATAAGCGGATTTTTATCAAGGCTGAACTCGCTGCATGTTGCATGGCACCGGGAAATTCGCATCACATTGAATCTATCACCGTTGCCCCCGGGATGTTTGGGGTTCATTTTGCAGAGGCCTTTGGTTGGCCTTTGCGTCGCATTCCTAGCAGCCAGGCCGACGGGTTTTCCTTTTTGTTTTCCATCCAGCATCCGCTACCCTAAACTCACGCATTTGGTGGGTATTTCATGGTATTTCGACTTGAATGATGGAGTAGATTCTCTAAGATGCCACACGACTGGACCATACACTGGACCTTTTTGTTGACATTTAGTGGATCAGTGGAAGGGAGCAAATTCTTGCCAAGACAACGCCTTTGAGAGATTCTTCGAGTAACAATCAGCATAATCAGCAACAATCAGCTATATACTGTCATCCAGGACATTCTTTAATCTTCAGCTAGTGTTCATGTGCTGGATCTGGCATGGAATGTAGATGTTTTTGCTCCAAAGTCAGCCAAAATCTAAGTTGCCTTCACGTGTTTGGACTCGGCTTGTGCGATAGACAGTGAAGGCCGTTCTGTGCAGACTCAACTCAACGTCCAGGTTTTGCACAGTGGAGCTCGAGCTTTTCGTATCTCCAAAGGCAGGACACGTGCGGGCAACAAAAATAGTGCCAGATGTGCCAGTGAGAACTTCAGAAGTAGCCAGCAAGAAGTACTGTAGCCAGCAGCTTGTATCACAGGATTTGGATTTTGGACTTTGAACTGTTTTGCCATGTTTTGCCAACTAGAGGACTGACTAGCAAATCCATGAAATGGATAGCCAGCAAAGCTGATTCACGTCAATGCATGTCAATTCATGTCCAATGGACGTCCAAAAAGCCTTCGGGCCTTACAATTTTTCAGGCACAGCCAAGCGAGACCAGTCGACGACAGGCCGTGGCTATTGCTTTCATTTCGCCGATTGCCTTTGCCAAACTCCTCTATCCATGCGACAAAAGCCCTAGTACCCTTGGGAACAGCAAAATAGCTGGTAAATGGATTTTCACCTTCATATCCCCAATATATACTAGATTTATCTAGATTTCAATATTATTGTAGCAACGATTTCAATCATAAACTATTGACAATTGATGTCAGCATCAATGATATTACATACATATCATGAGGTCAATGATGATGGTGTTGTGTTATGTCAATGATACCAATGATACAGATTGATACAGCATAATTCAGCATATATATACCTGGTATATCTGGTATTAAAATACTTTTCTATTTTGACCATTTTTGACCTGTCCCTTCTCCCCAATTCCCAGCTCCGTTGAGGCGCTCATCGCTTCTGGCCTCCTCGCTACCCAGGGAGCGCCAGCTCAGGCCTTGCAGAAGTGCCTGGGCTGAATACCCAACGCATGAATGATCATGGCATATCATGGCATATCATGGCTGTTGACATCTGTTGACCCTCGACCATGATTGAAACCGATAATTCATGATATGTGCAGGTCCAGTCTGCTTTGCTGATGAACATACCAGTGGTCCATTCTCCGTGATGCTTGCGATGGACCAAGGTTTGAAACAGACAAGGACGAGCTTGTGCAGGTTGGGAAACTGCGCTACATATCCATTTTTCTATTGAAGATAAAATTGCAAGAAATGACATGTGGCTTGGCGAATTCATCTGTGGCAGTGGAGCAACAGGCGCCTGCCAATGAAAAGTCCGGCGTGCCTGGCTATTTGCACCTGAGCTGCACCAGTGCAGCCAACAGATGACACAGATGACACCCCACGCCATGCACACACCGTTTCCAACACGGTCTTGCAGAGTCCCGCGGGCAGCTGTGAGGTTTCAGAAACCCGCTGGCTTTAAACGCTTGGCCAATGTCATTGATCCTACTGGCTTTGTCTTCCGCAACACGCAGGCCAGTGTCACACAGTGTCACTTGTGCCAGTGGACATTGACAGTATTAAACGCGGCGTGTTGGTTGCCAAGAATTGCATGGCAAGACTGCTGATTATTTATTATTATTATTATTAGTATTATTATTATTATATATTATATTATATATTATATTATATTATATATTATATTGTATATTATATTATATATTATATTATATATTATATTATATATTATATATTATATTATATATTATATTATATATTATATATTATATTATATATTATATTATATATTATATATTATATATTATATATTATATATTATTTTATATATTATTTATATTATTTATATTATTTATATTATTTATATTATTATTATTATTATAATATTTGTTTATTCCCAAAAGCATCTTCGATGCTTGGGTTCTCGTTTAGTTGTTTAACCGCGTGGGGGAGCGACCTGGCTCGAACGGTGGTGTGCGGACAGCGTGGGTGCAAGGGAAAGGAAAGGAAAGGAAGGGAAAGGAAAGGAAAGGAAAGGAAGGGAAAGGAAGGGAAAGGAAGGGAAAGGAAGGGAAAGGAAGGGAAAGGATGGGAAAGGAAGGGACAGGAAGGGAAAGGAAGGGACAGGAAGGGAAAGGAAGGGAAAGGATGGGAAAGGAAGGAAAAGGGAGGAAAGGAAGGGAAAGGAAGGGAAAGGAAGGGAAAGGAAGGGAAAGGAAGGGACAGGAAGGGAAAGGAAGGGAAAGGAAGGGAAAGGAAGGGAAACGAAGGAAAAAGGAAGGGAAAAGGAAGGAAAAAGGAAGGAAAAAGGAAGGGAAAGGAAGGGAAAAGGAAGGGAAAGGAAGGGAAAAGGAAAGGGAAAGGAAGGGAAAGGAAGGGAAAGGAAGGGAAAGGAAGGGAAAGGATGGGAAAGGAAGGGAAAGGAAGGGAAAGGATGGGAAAGGAAGGGACAGGAAGGGAAAGGAAGGGACAGGAAGGGAAAGGAAGGGAAAGGATGGGAAAGGAAGGAAAAGGGAAGGGAAAGGAAGGGAAAGGATGGGAAAGGAAGGGAAAGGAAGGGAAAGGATGGGAAAGGAACGGAAAAGATGGGAAGGGAAGGGAAAGGAATGGAGCGGACGGCTGCGGACGGCCTGGGTGCAAGGGAATGGCTGGAAATGGGCGGGGAGAAGAAGCCGCTGGTGATAAGCGAGCTTGGCTGCGCGGACGGCTGCGGACGGGGAATGGGTTCGGAGAAGTGCGCGGACGGTTGGCGCGAGCGCAACGTTGTGGCTGCAATTGGATGGGGAGAAGAAGCCGCTGGTGATGAGCGAGCGTGGCTGCGCGGACGGCTGCGGACGGCAAATGGGTGCGGAGAACTGCGCGGACGGCTGCGGACGGCGTGGGTGCAACGGAATGGCTGGAAATGGGTGGGGAGAAGAAGCCGCTGGTGATGAGCGACCTTGGCTGCGCGGACGGCTGCGGACGGCAAATGGGTGCGGAGAACTGCGCGGACGGCTGCGGACGGCGTGGGTGCAAGGGGGTGG